GGTCAAAGCTCCTCGTGGGCGTCGCTCTCCTGCTGGGGCTGGGAATTTTGGGATTCCCACAGGAATTCCTCCCCATCCCAGATTTCGGGGGGCTCCGGGGGGCTCTGGGGTTGGGAATTCCGGGATTCCGGCGGGAATTCCCGGCGCCGGGTCTCGGTGTCGCTGACGTAGCCGGGCTCGCCCGTGTAGTGCGTGGGGAAGAGCAGCAGCGGCTCCGCCGAGAACGCCCGCAGGTCCCGCCGGGAAAAGTGCCGGGAATACTCGGGGCTGCGGAAAAACGGGGGAAAAGTGAAATTCGGGGGAATTCCGGGGAAAAAACGGGGGGAAAATGGGGGAAATTGGGGAAAAAATGGGGGGAAATTGGGGAAAACAAGGGGGAAAATGGGGGGAAACTGGGGAAAACAAGGGGGGAAAAATGGGGGGAAATTTGGGAAAAAATGGGGGAAAATTGGGCGGAAATTGGGGAAAAAATGGGGGGAAATTGGGGAAAAAATGGAGGAAAAATGGGGGGAAATGGGGAGGAAATAAGGAAAATGTGAAAAATGGGGGGGAAAGGGGAAAAATGGAGGAAGATGGGGGAAATGGGGAAAAATGAGAAAAAATGGGAAATTAGGGAAAAAGGAGAGACCTGAGAGAAGTGCCCAAATCCCCCAAACCCCGTACCTGGGTGCCAGTGGAACACGAGGGGCAGGAACTCGTCCCGATATCCCAAATCCACTATTCCCAATGCCATAAATCCCATCAATCCCATAGATCCCATCAATCCCATAAATTCCTGACCCCACATCCCATAAATCCCATCATACCTGGGGTGGCAGTGGAACATGAGGGGCAGGAAGTCGTCCCTGTATCCCTGATCCCCCAAATCCCATCAATCCCATCAATCCCATCAATCCCATCATACCTGGGGTGCCAGTCGAACATGAGGGGCAGGAACTCGTCCCTGTATCCCATATCCCAAATCCCTGATCCCATCAATCCCCCAAATCCCATCAATCCCATACCTGGGGTGCCGGTCGAACGTGAGGGGCAGGAACTGGTCCCTGTATCCCATATCCCAAATCCCTGATCCCATCAATCCCATCAATCCCATCAATCCCATACCTGGGGTGGCGGTGGAACACGAGGGGCAGGAACTCGTCCCTGTATCCCTGATCCCAAATCCCTGATCCCATCAATCCCATCAATCCCATCAATCCCACAAATCCCCCAAATCCCATCAATCCCATCAATCCCATCAATCCCACAAATCCCCCAAATCCCATCAATCCCATCAATCCCATCAATCCCATCAATCCCATACCTGGGGTGCCAGTCGAACACGAGGGGCAGGAACTCGTCCCTGTATCCCATATCCCAAATCCCTGATCCCATCAATCCCATCAATCCCATCAATCCCATCATACCTGGGGTGGCAGTGGAACATGAGGGGCAGGAACTCGTCCCTGTATCCCTGATCCCCCAAATCCCATCAATCCCATCAATCCCATCAATCCCA